AGTACAGTAGAAGCCATTTTACGGCAGTACAGTAGAAGCCATTTTAAGGCACAACAGGCTGTATCTAACAGAACACAAACCACGAGGGATGTTAGGGGCGTCTTACCCCCCACAGTATTTGTTTCCAGAAAGTAAGTCATCTGTGTACCAAGTTTGGTTGAAATTGCTCAAGGCGGTCCAGAGTTATGCTGGAACATAAACACACACAGCTGGTTATATATGTATGTATGTATGTATGTATGTATGTATGTATGTATGTATATACATACATACATACATACATACACACATACACATACATACATACATACAGATTGATGATGGCTGATTTGTTTGAGTACCCAGTTCCACTCCCTTCTGGCACTGATGAAGTTACCCAGTTGGGTAGTGCAATGTCTGCACGAAAATCACCAAGTCAAGGAGCACCAAGGACCCCCACAATTCAACTCTGAGCTGCAAAAATTATCTTCGATCAGACAAAGATCAGCTTATGAGTAAACTCTCATTCCGTACAAGCAATAAGCTCCCTTGGATGTAACAAACCATTCTTTGGAAGTGGTTCTTTGTGAAACCTTCAGGCCGTAGCTCTTGTGTAAAAACATGTCCGGCTCAAAGCACCCCATTCTGAGTTTGGTTAGGTTAGGACAGCATCAAGACACACTTCTATAATAAGGTTGGAAGGGACCTTGGAGGTCTTCTAGTCCATCTCCTGCTCAAGCAAGAGACACTATACCATTTTTGACAAATTGTTCTTTAAAATCTCCAGTGTTAGAGCACCCACAACTTCTGGAGACAAATTGTTCCACTGATTAATTCTTCTGCCAGGAAATTTCTCCTTATTCTAGGTTGCTCCTCTCCTTGAATAGTTTCCATCTGTTGCTTCTTGTCCTGATTTCAAATGCTCTGGAAAAGTAGGTTGATCGCCTCTTTTTTCTGGCATATCGGAAGACTGCTATCATGTCTCCCCTAGTCCTTCCTTTCATTAAACTAGACATACCCAGTTCCTGCAACCGTTCTTCATATGTTTTAGCCTCCAGTCTATCTCTCTGTTAATGCAGCCTAGGACTGTTTTGGTTGGGGGGGGGGGTGTTTGTCCACCAAAGCATAGTAAAACATGGTCACATGATTTGCGCTGCAAATGTCCATTAATTAATTAATTAATTTTTCATGCTTCTTAACTGCCCATCCTCCTCAGAGAGGGGCTTTGGCCAATGTACAATTTGATCGATAAAATTTAAGCCTTAAAAATGCTTAAAGTCAGCTCAGTTGTCAAATGTCTGAAGTTCGGTCACGTGGATATCTTGGGGGGGGGGGCAGGGAGGCAGATGACCATTGGAACTTCGAATCCAGATCCTCAATAGTCCTCCTCCCCCGATAGGCTGTCATAACTTTGACTGTTTGCTAAACAACCGGTCGTAAGTCGAGAACTACCTGTAATAATAACAACCCTTTAAATTCTGTTTTTCATATCACAGTTGTACTTAATTGTCCTTCTCTCCACCCTGCATAACTTTGAATGGTTGCTAAGCAACTGGTCATAAGATGAGGCCTACCTCTAATACAGATTTTAAATTATATTTTTTACGTCTCAATCGCACTTAATTGTCCTCTTTTTTCCCCCTCCCACATAACTTTGAATGGTTGCTAAGCAACTTGTCGTAAGACAAGGCCTACTTGTCATACAGATTTTAAATTATACTTTTTAACGTTTCAATCGTACTTAATTGTCGTTTTTTTTTCCCCTCCCACATAATTTTGAATGGTTGCTAAGCAACTCTTTTTGTAAGTTGAGAACTGTCTGTCATAACAATGTCTCGGTTGTATTTAATTGACCTATTTTTTCCCTTCTACACCTTGTCACATTATTGTTTGTTGTTGTTGTTCAGGTACAGCCATAACAATTTACGGATCACTCGCATCCTGAAATGTTTGGGCGAGATGGGCTACGAGAACTACCAAGTGCAGCTGGTGAGGTTCTTCCTGTCAGAGACTTTGGTCCACCAGCAGCTGCCTCGGGTGCTAAGGAGCGTCTTAGACTACTTCATGTTCACCGTCCGAAACAAACCCAAACGGCGGGAGTTGGTCTATTTTGCCTGGCAACACTTCAAGCCAAAACATGAATTTGTCTGGGGGCCTCACAAGAAACTCCGGAAATTCAAACCTCCGTCCCTCAAACTACTGAATAACCCAGAAGAACAAGAAGGCGCCAAGGAAGAAGATGGAGAGGTTGTAGAGAAGGACAGTGTTGAGGCACGCCAAGCAACCCTTCAAAGGCTTACAGAAAAACCTGGGCAGGAGGAAGCTAGAGAAACTCTGGAGAAAGAGGAACGTGGGTTGTCAGAAGAGAGTTGTGTTGCTCGCCACGATTTAGACGCAACAGTACAACATAACCACACGGAGCGGCCTGTATCCAGCATTAGTGCCACCTTGAGCCTTTCAGACGGTAACTCTGTGCAGGACAAAGATATCGGGAGGAAAACCAGCTCTGTAGAAGATGGTGACCTGCTACAAGATGGGGAGGTTGTAGAACCTCAGATAAAGCCTGTGGATGACTGTAAGACTTCCAAAAATGCAAACCAATCTCAGCTTGCATTGGTGATGCCAACCAAGGCAGAGAAGAAAGACAGCGAAGGAGTTCTAGTACCTTCCGATTGCCCGTTGGAAGACCCCGCCGATGAGTGTGTGGGTGAAGCTGACGGAGAAAACCTCAAGGAAGCTAAGAAGAGGAAGCTGAGCAGATTAAGTGGAGATATCCCTGGGGCCTCTAAAAGCCCCAATGATATTGAGAGGATCTCCTATAATCTGGGCGAGGTGGTAATTACGAAGGAGGAAGTTAGCTTCTTGGCCCCCGAAGGTGGCAACGAGGACATCCCAGATGGGAAGGAGATTGAATCCCTTGATACGGTGATCAAGAGGCGGAAAGTAGACGTTGTCCCCAAAAGTAGTTCTTCGGAAGAAGGCTGTGAGGCGATCCCGTCTGAGGACCAAGGAGCAAGCTGTAGCACTCATGATGTTGAGGAGAAAGATCTTGTCGGCCAAGAAGAAACCAAAATGGCGGCTAATCCTTCTGTAGACACTCTGACAGGACACAAGGCTGGAGGGGCGGATGTTGTGGTTGACTCCAACAAGGAGGACCTCCCTGGAGATGGCTGTCAGCTGGGGAAAGTGAACGAACAAGAAGCTACCACTCCAACGAAGTGAGGTCCCTTGGTTGTCTGAACCCATAACAGCTCGTGAAAGGGGTGTGAGAAGCAGTGCAGGATGGAAGGAGCAGGACCTTGGAGAAACGTCTGATGGTTTCCTTGAAAGGAATGAAAGCTCCAAAATGAAGGAACATGAAAACACCATGGTCAGGCCAGAAGTGTAGTCCTATCCCAGATTGGATGAAATACCAGAGGTCAGAACGGGGTGTGTCTTTTCAGAAGATTCTTTCAGAAGCAGATCAAAATAACCCTTTGCTCGGTTTGTGGTCTGATATCTCCAGGTTTTTATAAACATGGCCCCTAGTTGACACCTAAGGGTGAATCTTTGGGGTGACAGGTTACCACGCTTGGGTGGTAACTTGCACATCTGTTTATTCCATTTCTAGAACTCTTTTAACTTTTAATTAATTTCCAGAGGGCTGTGTTCTTTTTTTAACAGAAAGCACTCACCTGTTCAGTACAAGGTATGCCACCTTCTTACAGGTGTGTTTTCCAGGATTTACTTGATGAGCCGCAAGAATGTTATTTGCTAAATTAAGTTTGTGTTTGTTAAATAAAGATCTTTAACTTTTGGAGGTGACGTTTCTGGTTTCTCGTTAAAAGAATAGAATAACAGAGTTGGGAGGGACCTTGAAGGTCTTCTAGTCCAACCCCCTGCCTAGGCAGGAAATCCTACAACACTTCAGTCAACTGGTTATTCAACATCTTCTTAAAAACTTCCAGTGTTGGAGCATTCACAACTTCTGGAGGCAAGTTGTTCCATTGATTTAATTCTAACTGTCAGGAAATTTCTCCTTAGTTCTAAGTTGCTTCTCTCCTTGATTAGTTTCCACCCATTGTTTATTGTCCTACCCTCAGGCGCTTTGGACAACAGCTCCATAGCATCGCCTTCCTAGGGAAACACACGTTGAAAAATACAGTATTTTTCACCACTTCAAAGACTGGCACGACTACAGTCTCCGGCGTTTAATTCTTGCTTCCTTTACCTTGACATCTGAGCTTATGATTAACCTCGTACATATAAAGGAAAAACCAACGTGTGTTTTAGAAGAATGGAACACGTTGAGCCAAAGCACTAGGACATTTTACTTTCCCACCTAGATCATTGCCACCACTTTAGAAGAAACCCAGAGGGCCAGGCTTTTCCCTAAAGGTGCAAGTTAGCACGAAAGGTTTCTGGAAAATAACATGAAATGAGAAAATTGCATTGAAGTAAACAAACGAAGTCAGGGGTCAGCAACCCACGGCTCTTGAGCCGCATGTGGCTCTTTCATTCCTCTGCTGTGGCTCCCCCAGTCACCAAGTACCATTGGGAATAGTTAGATACAGGTATAGGCATTGCTCAACTTACAATGTTTCACTTAGTGACTGTTCAAAGTTACAATAGCTTTGAAAAAGCGACTTATGCCCGTTTTCACACATACGACCGTGACAGCATCCCCATAGTCATGTGTTCAAAATTCAGGCATTTGGCAACTGGTTCATACTTACGACCGTTGAAGCATCCTGGGTTCGTGTGATCCACTTTTGCAACCTTCAGTCAAGCAGAGTCAACGGGGAAGCCAGATTCACCTAACAAACCAGGTAACTAACCTAATAACTGTGATTCACTTAACAACTGTGGCAAGAAAGGTTGTAAAATGAGGCAAAATTCACTTAACAACTGTCCCACTTAGCAACAGAAGTTTTAGGGCTCAATTGGCTCAACCGCTTTGGTCGCACTGACCGATGATCTCTGGAGAGCCAGGGATGGAGGTCATTCCTCCATCCTAGTGCTCCTTGACCTCTCAGCGGCCTTCGATACCATGGTATCCTTCTGCGACGGTTGCGAGAGGTGGGGGTGGGAGGCACCGTTTTTTGATGGTTCTCCTCCTACCTCTCGGACAGGTCGCAGTCAGTGTTAGTTGGGGAGGAGAGGTCGACCCCTAGGCCCCTTAAGTATGCGGTTCCGCAGGGTTCGATCCTGTCCCCCCTCCT